AATCAAATGTAATTTTTCTTTTTCCAGGTAATGCCTTGGCGCAACTTTGGGAATGTCCCTTTATTGAAGCATCAGCAAAAGATCGAATAAATGTCAATGAAGTGTTTGCAACTATTGTTCGAGAGATGAATTTAACGCAAGAAAAACGACAAAAGAAAAAATACTGTTGTTGTACGCTTTTATAGAAATTTGTAAATACATAAGATTAATATAGTTAAAAATAAAACCATTAATATGTATGTAATAAATATATTGACCAAGTAATATGTTTATATTTAAGAGGCACAGCAACGCCATAAAAGAATAAAAAAAAAACACGAAAGTTTGAGGGTGGCTATTAAAATTGTCCGTCTTAGTCTGAAAAAATATCATTTAAAATGAGTTTGCACCAACATACATGGTAAAGGTCGGAACAAGCAACTGGCTTGATAATCAAATGTTCAGGCATTGATTGTATAATGGTTGCTTTTTTACCCACGGATGTCTCAATCTTACACGCGTCAAATTCGCGGCGATCTGGAACTGGAATCACTCACTCTAAAATGCATTTGTTTATGTTTTTAAGCGCAAAACCAAATAAATTTTAAAGCAGAATTGTAAAATATTAAATTATTAAGTGTCTATATTGATTTGTTTTTGAATTTCGACGCAAGCTAAATTTGATGGCCGATGCGCCAATAAGACATCCTTCAGAAACATTTTAAAAAACAGCTGTGCCGATTCCACATAAATGTGGGTTGCGAGCGAGTATGTGCCTTCTCCAATCACATCGCGGGAAATAGACATCAACACCGATATTCGGGACACAGAGTGGATGACGGAAAGTATATTTCCTGAATATTTCGCGTCATCCGTGGGTAACGACAAAGAGAAAGATGATAGCTAGACTGGCCCAGAGGTATTACTTGCCTGCAATGTTTAGCGATCGTGTGCTTATGAGACAATTAAAGAGGCCTATTGCGGTGATAAGTAGGTGGTGATCCGCCTCAGGAAATACCAAGCGACACAACTACAAGCAGCGTTCCAAAAACAAATCTTGGGTAGATTTGGCGTTTATATTACAAACCGCATCTCCACACCTCTTTATACAGAGATATCCCTCCTGGATTCAACGAGCGAGAGTGGCGACCTTTACTAATATCAATGATTTAATCGATGCAGAGAGCTTTGACGGGAAGGTGACATCCAAATTTGATGACCCCGATCGAAAAATTAGAAAACGAAACCGAAAGCAGTAAAATCGGCGACAGTCGGCACGAGGTGGAAGGTCCCAGAAGTTCCACTATTCGTTGTAGTTGGCCGTGAACCATATGAATGCGGTACCCAAACCAATAAATTAAAATGTCTGATAGTTCCTGTTGGAGACAATAGGAGGAATTCCATGTTATGGAGGGGACCGCCTTCAGAACAATCAGGGTGTGGAGAGGAAGTTGAGGTTGGACAACGATTAGAGTCCAGGTGGGTACACCCTGATGCTGAAAGGGAACGATAAACAGAGTAGACTCTCCTCTGACACATGGGCGAATCGATTCGGTATACCGGATAACAAAAGATATAAGGGCGATAACGGAGTCAAGAGATCGTAAGCTAGTGCCACAATGGACGGCTTATACCACTCTGAAGACCGACGAGCCCCATCCAAGCAAGATATGTCAGAACGACCAGCACCCTTGTGAAGGCTGCACATCTAGTAAGGCTTGTTAAGCCACGGGATAAGATTTCAGTCGAACTTGACTGCCGTCCGCCATGCGCACACTGGCGCGTCGAGGCACTCCATCTGGTCCAGCATACAGCTCCTCCACTATGCCCTTTTGCTACTCCCTGCGTGGCACGGCTTGGTCGCGTATCACCATGGCATTTCGACTTGTCGCAGGTCCTCCAAGAGTCACCGCTTCCAAAACGGTCCTTTAATAGACATGCTACCCATCATTGCTTCCTTGCGGCGCATCCCTCGTACCGCTGGTAGTGGATACTGGGTGTGTCTGGTAGACTTCAGTAGAACGTTCGTTAATAAAGGGATTTTCTGGTGAAATTCTCAGCTTTGATCAGGAAACTCTATACTACGTGGTGCTTTAGCGCCACCTCCTTTACTCTGTGGTGTAAGCACTCTTGACACACTGCACCATCCTTTCCCAGGCTACCCCTTCAGCTGGGCTCGCTGGGCAGTCCATTCACCTTTTTGACAGTCTTGTAAACAAGGTACTACGCCGCTTTTCCGTTCGATGTCCGTTCTTCACGAGGAGTGGTCCAAAGTATTCCAGACCCGTAACCTTAAAAGAAAATCCTTTGGTCTCCAGTCTGTCCTCTGGCAAGGGACCCGCTTAGGGAACGTTTCGCATAGCGCCCGTCGTAGCAGCAAGTACTCAGCGTCCTCACATTCCATAGCGGTGAGGTCGAATTTCTTAAGATCAATTCTTTGTCCACTACACATGCGAGTGAGCCTTAGAATCCAAGCCGTTGTTCGCACCTTCCGACTCTATCTCGAGAATCTCTGAATGAAATATTTGCTGCAACTAGACAAATCACGCGGCATCTGTTCTTCATCATCGCAGGATGAATTTTCCATGCCCGGGCTGGCACGTAGCGCGTAGCATCGTCCGCGTACCTCCCAACTCAGCATCATAGCGGCTCCACAATAAAGCTGTCTGGTAGCGTTGAACTATTTTCACCGTAGTGTGATCGAATATCTTCTGTGCTTCTAGTTTGCACTCGCAGTGCGAGATGAGCGTAGTCTAGTCCAATCAGAACTTTGGTACCGCACCGCAATGCGATATCAATGGAATGCGAGCTCCGTTGCCCAACATCACGTCGTTACATAGATTGCATTGGTAAACGCAGGTTGGACACGGCGTACGTATATCGCGTTAATTTTCATACTTACCAATTTGGTCGGCTCATTGGCAGTTCTTGCACCAAACCATTGTATATTTAGTTCCCACCGTTCCCCATTTAGATCTAAGTCGCGCAGTAGCTCGTCGTCGATCATAGTTACAGGCGAGCCCTCATCGAGCAGCGCATACGTATCGATCAGCTTATTTGTCCCGTGCAATGTTACTGGCAAAATGCACAATAGTAGTTGTTCTCCATACGAATCTGCGCCATCCTTCCAGTATTTATCACTACATCAGCTGCTGGCTGCTGCCTTATGACTGTTTGCAGAATCATGTAAAAGGCGATGGTGTCTCTCCCGGCATCCACTGACTTTGTAGTCGTTGGCTCTTTTGCCACCCCTTGCCATGTGGCCATCTCGTGTAGGTGACAAACAAAGTCGACGCCTTTTTCTAAACCTTCAACTGTTTGGCGGAGAAGCTAGCTTTGAGTCGATCTGTGCGATCTTCACGTTGCCTTTCATTACTCTGGTCAATGCCGTGCAGTACTCTACGCTTCTGATCCCAAATATCGACGTCCACAACCGTACATACTACATTGGCAATGTCGCAAACCATGTGCTAAAAGCGGCAAGGCACTCACGCGTATAGCAAATGGCAAATAAACCATTCTAAATAGAGTTTGGTCCCAATTCGGGTTTTTTTCTAAGAATAAATGATTTCAAAATGAATATCCAAAAAAAATATATATATATATATATATATAAATATGAGTACAAAATATAAGTATTTTACAATACAAAAATTTAAAAAAAAAAAAAATATTTTAAGTAAATTAGGAAAACTGGAAAACATATTAAGTATTTAATTTTTTGGGTTGGGAAGGCTTAAAATAAAATTGACATAAAATACGAGAAGCTAAATTTCAAATTTGGTGACCTAATTTTTTTTATTGAATGGAAACGGGGAAATAAACGCGATCTGGACGGGAAATAAGAGAACTCCCGTTCAAAAGCATTTATAGATTCTGCGAACGTAGCGCTCAAATAGACGCACTGACAGACAGACATGGCATAATTGAATTTGCTATTGATGCTGATAAAAAAAAAAAAATACACTTGATGACAAGGGAAATGCGTCATTCAGCCTGTTGCATACATCTGCACAAAACAACTATACTTTTTTTTGTATTTATATTTAATGGGTTTAGGGTATAATGAATAGGTTTAACTTAATCGTATCTTTATTTTGTACGTGTTAACGTATATATAATATGTATATATGCACACATGCAATAATGAATAACTGATCAAGACGAGTTTTCTTTTGGCACGTCGAAGATTAAATACCCTTGTGAAGTTTGTTATTGATAACTATGGAAAAGATAAAGATAAAGATAAAGATGGTAAACTTGTTCCTAGCAGAGACTTCGATTAGTAATCTTGAAAAATAAAAAAAGATTCATTTAAAAAACTCATTAATATTGATAAATGTCGGGATTTGTAATTGATAAGATTTTACTCATGCATATAATATAGATTTTTATTGGAACTGAGATACAGACAGATGAAAGGACCTGACTTCATCGACTCTGCTCTTAAAACTGATCAAAGATCCTGGGTTGTATCCTTCTTGAAAATTACAATCTCCTCTGCCAGGGTATTAAAATGAGTCATCAGTGTTATGATTTGCAGTGCAACTTTTAATTTTGTGTTGATATAAATTTAAATTTGTATAAGTAAGACAAATTACAAATGCAAAGTTAATAATATATTTAGACCAATCACCAGTTTGACATTCAAGCGTGACGGCCTTTAATTTTTAAGTCTAAAGATTCAAAGTTCACACTTACATTCATATGTAAGTACATGTACATGTATGGATTTCAATGGGGTTTGCTTTAATACATGGGCAATAATAGATTCGTTTTTGTATGTCGACATTTGTATACATGTGTGTGTATGTATGTATGTACATATGTTGTAAGTCGATATTCATAAGTCAAAGGGGTTAACACACACACACATATTTATACATTAGTATATGTGCAAACCCCTTTGATTTAGATATAGATAAATATATATATATATATATATATAATAGTCAACAGACAACAACGAATATATCTATCATTGCCCATGTATAAAAGCAAACCCCTTTGAAATCGTCGTCAGTTTGTTCAAGTTATTTGGTTACTTCACAACTTGTTTGTTGCACATTTGAATTTGTTAGTCTCATAGCAAATAAAGCGATTAGTTGGTGGATAATCTAGTTGCTGTTTTAAGTTTTGTGGAAAAATTATTTGACAATGTGTGTATATTAGTTTTTATAAAATTTCTTAAATCATTGATTTCCTTCAAAAAAATATATATATCTCTCCATATGCATATATGTACATATATATATATATGTGTATATGTATACATATATACATAACATTGCAAAATTCAGTAAATTCCAAATTTATTTATTTATTAGAAGGCTATTCAATCATAATTTGTTCAGTTAAGTTTGAATTTAACTTAGTGTCTTGAACTAAGTTGTTAACGAACTGTTTAAACAAATATTTTATTTATCAAATAACAACAATTTGTACTTATATTCAAGTACACAACATATTCCTGATCATATTCGTTAACTTTTTGCAAGCAGTGTCGTTGTGTAAAAGTGCAAATTTGTTGTCGGAATATGCTGCATCGGATTTATTGGTTTTAGATTTCGCAAATTGCGAAAAAATATGTTCGATATATGACTATTGTCACAATTTACAAAAAAAAAAGAGTAAAACATATTCCGATTTTGTCTATTCCCGCTCTGCAAAAATTGCTATTTTATTTATCTTGGCCTTGGGTTACCGTGTTAGAGAAAGTATCCGAAAATCGGATACGAATCAATTCTGAGCAGAGCTTTGAAATGAATGCTTAACTAATTAATGTATTTATTTTTAATTAGCTTATTTCAGAATGAAGGCTTACTTTCTGTTACTGGCCCTGGCAATAGCATATGTTGCCGCTGAAGAAAAGTATACGACAAAATATGACAACATTGATGTGGATGAAATATTGAAATCCGACCGTTTATTCAATAACTATTTTAAATGTCTTGTTGACACTGGAAAATGCACGCCAGAGGGCCGAGAGCTCAAGAAATCCCTGCCTGATGCCTTAAAAACGGAATGCAGCAAGTGCAGCGAAAAACAAAGGCAGAATACGGACAAAGTTATACGATATATCATAGATAATAAGCCGGAAGAATGGAAAGTGTTGCAGGAGAAATATGACCCTGAAGAGATTTACATTAAACGTTACAGGGGACAAGCATCAAAAGCCGGAATAAATATTTAAGGCTATCGATACGGAGTCTGTAATATATTTAAGGCAATCTTAACTAAGGAAAGTTGAGTCCATTGTATAACATACTAAATGGGGTAAATGGTATGATTTAATAAAATTTGATTAAAATTTTATTGCTTATAAAAATTTTGTTTTAGTCTAGTCAATTTTTATAGACGAATTGCCGACATATTCTAAATTTACGGCCAGGTAGACGGAAGGGCAAACAGTAATGGCTAAATCGATTCGGTTATTAATGATGACCAATAATATGCATTACATGTTTGTACTTTATGCGGTCGGGGATATTTTGCCATATAAAAACTAATTTATCGACCCTTTTTCCTATAGAGCTATATAATATAGTGGTGCGATATTCATAAAATAGACTCAACATAATTTAAAAAGTAAATGCCGGGGTTGCTCAAGATATCTTGATAAGAAATGGCAGCTATACGATGTTGTGCCCCGAAGTTAATAAGCGTATGCGTACAGGTAATTACTATAATTTTGCCATGTAAAGCATAGAAGTAAACATCGCCGACTCCATAAAGCATATATATTCTAGATCAGAATCAACAGTCGTGTTAAGATATTCCAAAAATGAGTTTTCTCGAGCTGTGAATACTTTACCTGAAATTTTTTACAGTTTGCATCTGTAGCTTTAATGTGCCATAGCCTCGCGTCTTGAAACTTATAATAAAAAATCTTCGTCTGTAGTTTAAATTCCAAAAGATTTATTTATACGATTAAACTTGATGTGGAGCGGAGTGCGGAGATGGTAGCCAGAATATGAAAGACACTTGATCTGTATATTCTATCTAGAAACTACATTTCAAGTTTGATGAGTCTAACTCTTAAAACTTAGGAGGTTTGTTAAAAAAAATAGTATTTCGATATCGATTTTTATGGAATGCTTGGAAATGGGGCAGGTTATCGACTATCGGAAAAAGGGCGAACCGCGCGGTACTAAGAGGACCTACGTTCGAAATTTCCAGTCCCTGGCTTATCATCTTGTAGGTTCTGAGATTTTCGCGATTATACATGCGGACGGACAAACCTTTGGGTATAAATGGTCTACCTATTTTCAATGGGATCTGGGTATAAAAATATTATAATCATCAATTCAATTTTATAAATGTTTCACTGTCAATAATCTTAAAAATGTCATCACGAAAGTAAATCAAATTTTCATTAAAACAGTTACTGCTTTCACAATGTAGTTTTGCCATAACAGGTTTGATGTTTCCAATCTTCGCCGTCTCGGCTAATTCATTGAAATACTGCATCTGAAAAATGTATTTATTTAAATCAAAGGAATGCAATACTATTATATTTTTATATTGTTAATAACAAATAACAGTGATCTAGTCGAGAGAGTCTGACAGGAAAATCCTTTGTACGCATCTAACTTCATTTTAAAAACGCAATTTACACAATAAATATTTAATTTGTTAGAATCTGATTGGATTTTGTGACATCCTTTGTGTTTGGCAACATTTGTATCGATTCGAGTTGGTGAAATCCAAAAGTAGACAGATAAAACTGTAAACCCAGCAGATTTCGTTTCGAGAGGCCGTGATCTAGGCGCGTTAGTTGCATCGATTTCAAAGAAGAGTTGAAATGTAAGCAACACTTTGCCAGGCTTAACAGGGAAATTGGGTAAATCGCATTGTTCGGTGTATTGTTTTTGAATTCCGTTTGGACTTTTGGGACCAAGCTTAACTAAAGCATAATACGTTTTTAAATCAACAGACTTGTAATGAAAGCTTGCCCATTGCACGTGATTCGGCGTTGACGGAACAAAGCTCTTGCACACAATAATCGATTTCTGGCACCCATGAATATAATCATCTAATACTTTCTTCAAGGCCTATTCAATATATCTTTGTGAATAAGTTACTAATGTGATCCCCGGAAACGTAGTTGAAATTTAATAAATACAATTCAATGTATTAAGCAGATCTTTTGAGCATTACCTGATCGATCCCCAGCATATGAGCTTGTCGCTTTTTGTAACCCCTTTCCCAGAGTTTTTGCATGTTTTGTAGTGTATCTGCTGTCATTTCTGTGCTTGATAACAATTTGTTTGTTCCAAAAAAGTAACTTAAAACAAACCGTGCTTGTAAATCCATCATTTGAGCGGCGCATACGTAGAACGGTAGTCCAATAAATGCCATTGTTGGATTTCGTATATTGATGCACTGTTTGTAAAGCATTTGGACACAGTTGTCTTCGACGTATATACCAGAAGTAACACTGAGAAACGGGAAGGAGTACTTGTATCCAGTACAGAAAAATACTATATCAAATTCTGTGTAAGATCCATCCATAAAATATGCTCCATTTTCAGTAAACTCCTTAACATCTGGTTTGGTGACAACATTTTTAAAAAAAATTGAACTTGAAATACCATTTAAATGATGGCTTAGTACGACTTGTTTTGCTGCCTTTGATATTATATTTGATAAGTCCAAGGCACTTGGTCCTCCTCCAATTACCAATACAGTCTTTCCTAAACATATTCGAATAATAAACATTTAAGAGTTTAATAATTAATAATATTTACCATGAAAGAGATCGTTGTTTCTGTAATCATGGCTGTGCAAATATTGACCTCTAAATAGATTTGCATTCGTAATTTGTATATAATTTGGTGTATGATAGTGTCCATTTGCAATGAGTATTTTGTCAAAGTAATAAAATTCCATATTATTTGTCAATAAATTCTTCACAAGTACCTATAAGAAATAAATGGCCTTACATTAAATTAAGATCCTCATTGATTATTTTATTTTGCTTACTTGCCACTTCTCTCTTTTTTTTAAAACCCGTATCACGTATGAATTAAATTTTATGTGTTTTCTCAATTGGAAATGATCAGCGTACAGATTTAGAAAGGCACAAATGTCTTCAGATGAGATATAAGATTCTTTCTTGGCACCGATTTCAAAGTCTGGGTATCCCATGATCTCCTTGGGTAAATTTGTGCTAAGTATATAGAGAAATATATTTGCAATATATTAATTTTAATGTTGACTTTTCCAATTTTGTCAATCTCTGTTTCTATGCGAACTAGTCTCTCACGTATTGAAGCTATCGTCATGAATCTTTGAATGCGTCCCTCGTTGAACATATGTCGGAGCCGACTGGATCGGATTACTATATATTATAGCTGCTATAGGAACGATCGGCGAAGAGGGATGTACCTGTCTAAAAATGGACACAACTGCTATTGAAATGGACTAAATCGTAGGTCTTCCCAGGGTTTGTCAAAAATCTTGAAGCCTTAAAGCTCTTGCATCGCTAAGTCGGCACTACAGACCAGAGAACTGTTGTTTTGGGAGGTCAATTTGCAATTTCTTATTCTTTATGAACATATAATTTGTGTTGGCAATAACTAATCAATAAAACTATTAATATGTGAAACTATTAGTATGTGAATATTCATAATTATAGTTTTAAACATATTTATTTCTTCCTCTCTTAAATAACTTACCGCAAATTTGCATACATACTGCTGTGCACATCGATGCCGTCAACTGTTCCAGTATTTTTGTCATAAACCCATGTTCCTCCAACTTGATTCGAAAGTTCAAATACTGTAGGAGTTTGATTGAGCTCAACTGCACGTCGAGCACAACAAAGTCCTGCAGTGCCGGCACCAATTATACACAAGCTCATTGTTTTAAAGCAACAATTGATGTATTTTCAATAGAGAAAATGTAATTGAGTACAATATTTATTTTAATCAGCAAGAACTGATGTTTAATCTGCCATAGAATATTATGCGACATGTTCCCATTTTCACTTTCAAAACTAAAACGTCACTTTTTCATTAGCTGGCATCAATAAAACTTAACAGCGCACTCGCTTGTTTTAAGAAAATAATACAAATAAGATAAGAAAACTAAATTTATTTCTTTGTTAAAATTATTTTTTTTATCGATTTAGATATATATCTTTTTTTCTTTTCCTTTGTATCAGCAGCGATATTTCCTGACTATTTAGCCATTTGTACATATTTAGATTTTTTTAGATATTCCAAACATTCTTTAAAATAAATGCATTTCCCCTTAATGCTAGAATCTACAGAAGCTTAAAGCCATAAAAGAATAAATAGTAATAATGGAATTATAGTAATAATATAATTTAAACTTAGCATTTTTTGATTCTAGATTTTATTCATTATGCAAGAAAGTGAGAACAGCAAATGTTTGGTCTTACTTATATTTTTAATGAACCTGATTGCTATATCAGGAAAACGATTTCGTTGAAAGTCAATGATCGACTATAAAATACTCTGTTCTCAAAATGAGTTTATGCACTCTATGTATGTTTTTAAAACATACGTGCAAATATGATATTAGTTGCAGAATGAGACACCTAAAGTACAGATCTTAGGCCCACGGCACGATATTTCTAAATGATAAAAATATCCATACATCAACGCTTTGAATTAAATGAATAAATATTAAACTGAACATATATTAATCTGATTACTTAAAATATATATTGATCAAATATAACACATCCATATACTCTAAAAAAAATTTGGGGTCGCTTTGGCTGCAACATCGTAACGTGATAAAAAGATTTAAGTTCAAATAGAGGATTTCTCACAAACATTCATATCTGTTTGGCGTAGTCTTCATTGTAATGCATACTATTACTTGTTTGTCTCATTAAATAATGTGCATTATCATTTTCAACTGTATTGTTATGTGTTGAATAAGCTTAATGCTAAAATGAAATTCGCTGCTTGTATATTTGTTAAAGTTTGCCAAATTGTAAGTGGTACATTTTAATTATTTGAAAATATATTAAAATTTGTTAACAAAATTTATTTATTTTGAATTTCCACAAAAAGATCCACAATGATCGAAATGCTTCAAATTATTAAGCAACTCTTTTCAAACAGTTTTTTATATTAGAAACTTATTCAACTTTAATTAATGTAAGCCATTTTCATTGGCTAATCAATTGAGAAAAATACATATTATTTTCTTAGCAAGTAAGAGTGATATGGTCGGAATGACCGACTAGGAGATTCCCTGTACAACACGCCGAGCTGCCATCACAAACATCATAACTTATTTCTACACAAAATGCGCTGCTTCTAACCTTGGCCTCACTTTATGGGAAATTTTTTTCTGATTAGCTTAGCTTTGACGCTAATTGTCAGACGTTTATAAAATGCTAAGTGCAAAAATATTGCGTATGAGTGCGAAAACCAAAGTCAATAAGTATTCTTTTCAGATTGGGTATTTTTAAATTCATTTAGAGCAAGTTCCAGGGACATATAGATGGACAGACACATATGGCCAAGGATTAATATACATTATGTTGCCGAAGAAAAAAAAATAAAAATTATTTGTCTGAGTAATAATTCTCTTTGTTATTACTTTGTTCAAACAATTACACTTATTCATTTTATGTTATTTTTTTATTGTGCTTATAGTTTATAGTTTTTGGGTCACAACAAATAATCAAAACAACTTTTAAAACGATACTCTCTCAACTATTAGTAGCATCTACTCAGTTCGTACCCTACGTTGCTAGAATGATCCTACAATCTACATGCTCAGTCTCACAAATGCGCCTAATCAACAGGAAGTAATAGTCAACGTCTCCTGTCAAAATTTGTCCAAGCCAAACCCCACTACCAGTGTGCTCAGCTCCAACTCCATCACGTGACAGCTTTGCTGAACCATGACAACCTATGGCATTTTGGCCGAGCGATTATATAAAATTTTAATTGAGCAGGCTCGATATTTGATTAAAGGTCAACAAGAACGCAATATTAGCTATTTTTTATTAAAATACCTTATTAACATGCTGCTATAATGCCCAAGATGCATTTGCTTGGCAACTTCCTTCAAAAATGGTAGAAGCCGATCTAAGTGATGATTCCTAAGACAGGATAGAAACAACTGGACCACCGGGGTTATATCCTTGGGATTCTTTCGGGAAAGAAATAACTACAGGGCATCATTTAGTAGTAAAAAGAAAACAAGGATCAGTTACGATACCGAACCAAGCAATCTAGCCAAATCCTTCATGCATCTCTGTAAATAATCGATTTTGTTTAATTTTTTACAGATTGCAACTGTGGCAGCAACCTGTTTAAAAAAGTTATCTGATAAATACTCTGAGCGCCTGTTAACAATCAACAACAAAAGATTAACGGAATGGATGCTTTTGAATACAATTTCATTGACAAAGGAAACCGATGAATTAAGTGTCCTCACTTTTATGGGATATACATTTATATCAACTATTTTATTGCTATCGAGGTAAGCATTATTTTGGTAATTTGGGTCAGATGATAAAAATAAAAGCTATGTGTATTGCAATTATATTTCAGGATCAAAGAAAAGGATTCGAATTATCACATAACTGAGATTATTTTATTGAGCTTTGGAATATTGTTCTTCACCATACAAGGTATTTTACTATATTCATCAACAAGCATTGTTATAATCATTTTCCGACCCGAAATAGCCATATGCCATAATTGTCTGTCTGTCAGTCTGTTTGCTTTTATGCTAATTAATCCCTCAGTTTTAAATCTATCGTCCTGATACGTTCATTGTTTTGCTGCAGGTACTACATATGTCAGAACCTGGCGGAGCATACTACTTTATCGTAAATCTTAAGTATTAGTCAGAATAAATAGTTTTATATGAAAAAAGTTTTATATAAAAAAGTTTTATATAAAAAAGTTTTATGCTAATTGGCTGACTGTCGATGAAAGCACAGCCTTAAATCATAAGAGCTAGGAAGCTGAATTTTTTACCTTATGTGATGAAGGGAATGTAGAATCGAATTGTGAAAATTCCAACCGCGAGTCTGCACAATCGCTGAAATCGATTGCATGAATATTTTTTACGATCGCCTTTTAACTCTGTTTCAAATATCTTGAAGAATTTATTTCTCAATCTCAAGCCTTAAACATGGAATCTAAAATGAAAGAATTTATTTATTATTGCTGTTGGTTTTTGCGCAATGAACATTAAATTGTTATTTGCAAGTAAATGAGACGTAGAGCATAATATAAAACGTAATGTAAATTCAAATTTTGTTACTGGGTCCAAATTCTTTGGACCATCGCTTGATGAAACAGAAATATTTGCCCTTATTTAAGAAGGTAGCATGAGATAAATTTCGCTTAAACTCGTCGATTAGTTTGTTATATATTCCAGAGAATTTATATTTATAAATTAATATTTTTTTTGTGTTTGTTTCAGGACTATTAATATTTGGTGTTCTGGAACAGTTGCCGGATGATATCTTATCTTATGGTTATTCCCTCGGAGCTGTGTCGTTTATATGTGCGATTCTTTTTGCCATAGATCTATTTTTTTTCCGGCGCATGGCGGTTTCTAAAAATGTGCTTTCTCAAACCGATTTGGAATATATAGATGAGAAAACTTTTAAAAAAGTAGACATTAAAATAAATACAATTGAAATGGATCGATCTAATAAGTGTTGCTTGTCGGACGCGACAAAAACTGGCAAAAAACTCAAATACCTACGAACTGATTTATGATTTACACTGGGAAAATCAAGTTTTCTTATAATATCCACATGTATCTTTAAATGAATATGAATATGAATATGAATATATGGGGATCCATAAAAGTTTAAGCTTAATAAAAGGCAATACCGACAGCCCATAAAGTATATATACTCTTGATCAGTATCATAGCCATGTCCGTCTGTCTGTCCGCCCGTCCGTATGTATAAAAACCTTAAAACCTATAAGACCTAGAAACTTAAAAATTTAGGTCCTCTAAGTGGCCGCGCAACACGAGTTTGTTTTCGAAAATCGATAATTTGCCCCGTTTCCAGGTAATCGATAAAAATATAAATCGCAAAACTGACTAGGGTCACGATACTTGACATGCGGTAGGATCGTAATAGTAGAATGGTATACATCTACCAATACATAGCTATAAATTAAAAAAATAAATAAAACGATTTTAAATAAAAAATAAAATTTTCGATTGAAAAATAAAAAGGAAATGTTAATTGAATTTGTTCATACCGTGTAATATTTTATGTAAGTCTCGAAGAAAACTGCCGGAGATCAGTCAAAATAGTTTTAAAATTTTCTAAATTTTATTTTATTCAATGTTAATTTTAACACTATTTTTTTCTTCATTGAAGGAATTATATTCCACATTCTTCTTTAAGCAGTTTTCATTGGCTTGCGGTGCCAATTCGAAGCTTTGATTAGAAACATTATTGTAAACAGCCAAGGCTTGCGCAACAAGCCCAGTTACATCGCCGGGATTTGATGGCAATATCATTGTATTGTTTGATTTTGCTAACTTTTTAAAAGCTTCAATATATTGCTCGGCCAACGTTAAAGATGCAGCATTCCTCCCCTCCTATAATAAAAGAATAAATACGTTAAATGACAACAAAAAAAAAAAACCAGAAGTAAGGCTAACTTCGGCCAGCCATAGACTTAATGCGTTGTATATATTCGGAATTGGTTTTTATACATTAGGTTGAAAAACAGAAAAGCTAGAAGTTCGTTGTTAAAAAGATTTTCCTTAAATGTTAGTGTGAGCAGCTTCTGTGATTAGCTAATTGAAAATCCGCCCCAGACTGTGCTTCCCCCTGTTCAATGATACACAGAATTTGCCAGCCATTGACCCCAGTCCGCGGTTATAACAACTTGAGAATTATAGGCGACGAATAGATGACATAGCTACCAAATTCAAAGTCTACTCTTTTTTTTTACCCCCGCGGCAAAAACTGTATTTGATATTGAGTACCGTTTAATAAAAATGGTTAGAATGTCAGCCCCTAAGTGATACTAGATTATTGAATTGTACTTACTGTATGAGACAGAGATTTTGATAAGGCTTGCAGACTTCGCGCTCTGGCATCGGCAACTGCGATCATGGCAGCAGCCTCCCCGCTAGCTTTGTTGATGTGTTCTTGTCGTTCAGCCTCTGTAAATATGAAATCAACTATAAATATGATTCATGCAATTTGACTGATGTCTTGAGTATAAGAGACGACCAAACACGTACATTTACACAAGGTCTTATACGTACAAAAGTTATATATATAGGTTATACATACTGCCACATTACATCATTCGAAAGTTGGTATTACAAAGCGGTATCATATTCCAAAATCAAAAGTTATTTAAGCGAGGTATTATAAATAAATTATCAAAAACGTGTTGATTTTCGAACCGACCCCGATTCAAACCAAGTCTAAACGAAGAGGTATACAACGAATCCGCCGCCAAAGCACTCGATGAACTCGACCTCGAAGGCGAGCCCAGACAACATTGTGGCGAAATGCAACAGCCAAGTATTGGCCCTGACGAATTGCATAACAACATGGTGCTCAGCTTCCAATCAAGACACTTGCCAAATCAAGGAATTTGACAGTCGCACTTTTGGATCAAGTAGTTAACCACAAGCTGGCCGCTACTGCAGCACGCGCGGTGGTCAGCGACGCGCACATTGGCCAGAGACAGATAATTGCGAAATATACGCGGAGAATTGCGTCACCTGCACGAGGCGGCGCCCGCTCTGCAGCCAAAATTCTTAGATTTAGCTTGTTTTTTTCATTTTAGTTTTAATTTGAATACCCCACTGAACTAATTTATACAAAAACGTACATTTGTGTACGATTATATAAATACCTGACGCAAGAATTCGTGATTTTCTCTTTCCCTCAGCAATATTAATTTCAGCTTCACGAACTCCCTCCGATTCTAGAATCGCTGCTCTTTTTCTTCTTTCCGCTTCAACTTGCATCTGCATTGCTTCATGGACTCTGGTCGGCAACTGATTTTGATTGAAATATATATATATATATGTTAAAGCCAAATACATATCTTAAATATTTACCCTAATATCTCGTATTTCGTAGCGCAAGCAGGCAATACCCCAAGCTTCACTGGCTTTATTTATTGAATCAACAATGCTGACATTCAAGGATTCCCTTTCCCTGAACACTTTGTCTAATGACATTTTACCGAGTTCAGATCTCATTGTTGTTTGTGCGAGTTGAGTTATGGCAAATTCGGGATCCTCCACACCATAAGAAGCTAAAATTAATGTTTGGTAGTTACTTGGCAATTTGTGTAATTCGTATGTAAAACAAACCTCTATAGGGATCAATAATACGTAAGTAAAGCACACCATCAATGCTTAGAGTCACATTATCGGATGTAATGGCACTTTGTTTGGGAACATCTATCGCTATTTCCTTTAGGCTTTGAACATATTTGATTTTATCGGCGACAGGAACCAAAATATTTAGACCGGGATCCAGAATTCTATGAAACCTTCCCATTCGTTCCACTACCCAAGCCTTCATTAAATATTATTAGCATAGGAAAAAATGCGATTATTTAATGCTTAAATAATACGTATATATAAATATACGTGTATCTATCTATATACCTCTTGTTGCGGCACAAACATCACAATTGTGTTCATTGGAGTTGAGGCTTTTCCTCTTGACTGCCTCCTTAGGCCAGAGCCGGCAATCAAAATTTCTTTCTAAAAATATTAACATTAGCGTAACGTTAAATAAATCACAATATTAGCTAAACTTACGTGCGGCATTAATCTTCGCGTAGATAATAATAAACTATACATTTTCAAATATAAAGACCTTTCTACCAGACATATAATATAATGTAGAATAACATCATGTTTCTAAACACAGGGTGGTTCAGCCACAACGAATACCGGTTTTCCTGCATTGATGCGTTGTTTCCACTGTCTACAACAAAGACGAGCCAATTGATTGGTTTTATTGATAAATAGGTTAAGAATATAATTTACATATTATTTACTGCTATGTATCATCAAAAAACCCTGTTTTCGATATCATCCATTAGAATAACTACCTATATAAGACTACCTTATATATATTTTTAGCATCGAGCTATCGCTTTATATTAGATTAAGAATCTTGATGGTGAGGATAGAAGTTAAGCACTATTTTGCCGAAAATGAGGCCACAGTGCTATTTATTTATTTATCCTTTGCCACCGCAAATCGAACGCAGCGCATGCCGAAAATGCTTCGGAAAAGTCCCACAACACCAGCTAAGGTGCTGTGGTCACTTCAATTTATAAGCGGCTTCTTTTGCTTTTTCACTCAACCCACACTTGCCGTTATTCTTCATTAGCATTTCAGTCAGTGATGTGGGCATCATCGCGAAATTTCGCCGGATGCTGTAGCAAAATATAAGCGAGTTTCCATTACCTTACAAATCTTTGAAACAGACCTCCGATTAATTCAATTTTCTGGATGTTGCTAAATATTGGCAGATCTTAAAGACTTTTAAAAATAATTAAAGCCGGCTGCCATAAATAAATCAGCCATAAATAAATCAGCCAATCTGGCGATAACTTGTATAATGGAAAGAAAATTGATTCATTTTTGATATAAATCAATTAAGCTGCGTAGCTCGCACCAGCTAACAAAATGTGTAAATATAGATCTACATAATTTACAATTAAATAACTTTAGGAAAGATGTTTAGAAATAACAATTATTGTGAAAGTGTGGATTTTCATGACTGTTGCCTTAAGGTATAGGACAAATTATATGTAATTAATTATGCTTTGGATGAAACGCTTGAAAACATCGATTATATCTGGTGATATTAAATGGTTCAATATATCGAATCAGCTCGACTTATGTAAGGAAAACGATGTATTTTAAGGAATCACTAATAATAATTATCGAATCGATACTATCGATAGATTACAGATTTTCAGCCTGTTTCATTAAACTATTAAGTTTTGTAATCATATGCAATATTATATATTTATTGTTATATACATATTGTCATTCATATGAAGCACGCGTGTTGTCTTAGCGATTTCTTATAATCGACCATTCATAAAACAGGAAAATACAATTCTGTGAATATCAGTCAAATTTAATACTGAATCTAATTCTTTCCTTGCGGTCACTAAATATAGAAACTATTCAGTCATAATGTTGCGTGGAATCAAGATTACTTGTCTAAATAGATGTTATCACAGAGATCGATCGTTGGCCCCCATTCTTCAACGTTTATACGTAACACAAGTGGAAACCCACAAAGGGTCATATCCACTGATACAAAAATGCAATTTTACACAAACCGCTTCCGAAAATACACATGATAATAAATTAAAAAAACCCGCCTTGGAAAACAAACATAACAAGAGCTCTGAAGACTTAGACCGTGCCTACAATGTCCTGAAGGGTACACTGCCAAAACTGTTTGTCGAACCACTGGACTACTCCATCTATAGTCCAAATCTGATATTTCAAAATAACATTACCGGCAAATACACGGTAGGTTTGTACCACTATGTTAAGCAAATAGCGATTCTCCGTACGGTTGGTCATTTGAAGTACGCATACGTTAAATTCGAAATACTTAAAATAACTAAACACTCCGAGGATTACACAGTGCGCATCAGATGGCGAGTAAGAGGCATATCGGGCTTGAAAGTAATGTTTCAATTTTGGAAATACAAAGTGTGGGCGCTGCAAGAAGTACTCAAAGACCAGGAGTCTTGGTACGACGGATACTCCATCTGCTTTCTGGGCGATGATGGTTTAATCAGCAAGCATGTTGTTGACAAAATAATGCCGGATGAGAATCGTGAAATAGTTACCAACAATTCTGGTTCAACG